CGTGTGCACAGGTAACATCATGCTTGCGGACCAGGAGAAGTTCAGCTCTGGGGGTTCGTAGTGGTTTCACAGCTGCAGCCAAGGGCTGGGCAGCAGACACATGGGTGGGTGACCTTGCGCCCCTAGTCCCATCTTCTACAACATGCCATGCTGGCACTTTTTAGCCCACAGGTCCATGAAAGTAAGGAACAGGAGGGATAACAAGAAGGGAATAACGCCCTTTGGGTGGCACACAAAAAGCGTGCTTGTAGGAGCACCAAGGAGAGAGAGGAAGCACTGGGTGCTAGATGCTCCTAGCAAGGTCCCAACCCATCATGCTATGGGGACCAGTAGCCCATGGGCTGTGCACAGATGGGGAGGGCCAGTCCTGAAGTCTTTTTGAAGAAGGGGTGGTGGCAATGGGGGTCCGCAGAAAGTCTCTCCTTTTGGGGACTGCTGCAGACACATGAAGGGTTCATGGACAACCACCTGGGAGGACTAAAAAGAAAGGATTACAGCCATTTACGGTTTTCGTACACTCATGTTAAATGTGCACAGGCTCTGAGGTTGCATGGCTGGTTTTGCCCACACCTGAGATGTTTAGCCCTAGACTTCAGATATTCCTCAATGGCTCTTTGTGGGCATGGGAACCCCCCCTGTGAAAAACCCAGGAGAGCATCCTCCAGCATGGGTCTCACCATGGTGGCAAGAACAGGCATCCTGGGTGAGGCCTGGTCTGATGTTCCTCTTTGGTCTCATGTCACGAGCAGGCACGACCACCACCAACACATCATCTCTCCTGCGCCTGGAGAACGGCCACGGCCGCTGCGCAGGGCGTGTGGAGGTGTTCCACCACCGTCAGTGGGGGACGGTGTGCGACAACGGCTGGAGCCTGGCTGAGGCAGCGGTCGTCTGCCGGCAGCTGGGCTGCGGAACAGCCATCTCAGCCCCGGGCTCGGCTCACTTTGGGCAAGGGTCTGGCCGCATCTGGCTGGATAAGGTGAACTGCACGGGGGAAGAAGCTGCCCTCTCCGAATGCCAGGCCAAGCCATGGGGATCCAACAGCTGTGACCATCGGAGAGATGCTGGTGTGGTGTGCTCAGCCGATCCACGTTAGTCAGGATAAGTACCATGCGGGTTGGGGTGCGGGATCAGCTCAATCGCGTCCCAGGTAGCCAGGGGTGGGTGCCTTTACCCCACCCTGGTTTAGGAAAAATAAGTCAAGAGAAGGGAAAGAATACCACAGTGGGTGAGGAATGCCACAGTGGGTGATGTTCTTCCCTGTGTTGGTGCAAGCTATGAGACCCAAGTTAGGATGATTTTGTGTAGGAAGAGCAAGCCCTTCTCCTACCTTTCCCCTTTCCAATGGCTCTAGGTACACAAATTCATCAGGAAATGCCTCCTACCAGCTCTCATAGTCACTACTGACCCCAGGACCCTTTGGCAGGCTACAAGCCCCAAGCTCTGGAGCTGCAACCCCTCTTTATCCACCCCAATGAGAAGCAAATCCGCAGCCAGCCCTGTTGGTGTAGCAGCTTTCCTGGGCAGCTGGGGGCTGTGCGCATGGAAGGATGCTCTGATTTTCCCATGGCTTAGCATGTTGCAAAGTCCAGCTGGAGCCATGGTTGACAGTCAGGTATGAACATGCCCCTTCCTCCCTTCGCAGATGTGGCCACTTCAGGGCAGCACCCACTGCGGCTGGCAAACGGCTCGAACAACTGCCTGGGGAGAGTTGAGGTCTTTCACGACCAGAAGTGGGGGACAGTGTGCGACGACACCTGGGACCTCCATGATGCCGCTGTGGTGTGCAGGCAGTTGGGCTGCGGGATGGCACTGTCGGCACCGGGCTCAGCTCATTTTGGACCAGGGTCAGATCCCATCTGGCTGGACGGCACTTACTGCACAGGGTCCGAGTCCTCCCTCACCGCCTGTGAGCTGAGCAACTGGGGAGAGCACAACTGTGGCCACAGCGAGGATGCTGGTGTGGTGTGCTCAGGTGACACCTGAGGGGCGGGTGAGCCAGGGTGGTTGGTGTCCATCCAAGAGGGAGCTTGATGGGTGCTGGAGCTGCTGTTCTACCCCAGGGCTGTGCCAGGCTCTATCCTCTCCGCTTTCTCTTCCCCATCCCCAGCATCAGAGCAGAAGTCAGCTTCCACCCAGCAACTTGTCTTGGAGTTGAGCAAAAGTGCCACCCTGCCTCAGACAGGAGTTGTGCACCGAACTCATATTGATTTAATGTAGAAGATGTCCCTCTAGCTCATCAATGACAACATCCTGAGATGGGCAAAGCTTTGCTTAAAAAAAAAAAAAAAAAAAAAAAATCCGTGCACATCTTTCCTAGACAGAGAAGTCCAGTGCCACCGGGGAGGTGGGTGTTGGTCTCCCATGAGCCCCGTCTCACAAATACCAGCCCTGCAGTGACGTTGCTTATTAAGGCATCTCATACAAGAGGGTGGAGTAAGGCAATCCATGCCTCATAGCTGGTGGCGGGTGCTGGTGGCTTGCCTTCAGCAGGGCACCAGAAAAAAATACCTGGGAGCAAGTCAGAAGCTCTCATCGCTATATGGGATCAGAGGGGCCACCTCAACCCCTTGCGTTCTTCCTTGCAGGCACAAACCCCTTGCAGGTGCGGGTGCAGGACGGCCCCGGTCCCTGCGCAGGGAGGGTGGAGGTGCTCTACAACGCTACCTGGCACGGGGTGTGCAGCAGCAGCTGGAGCTTGCTGGAAGCTGGGGTGGTCTGCAAGCAGCTGGGCTGGGGGCCAGCCCTGTCAGTGCCCGTTGGAGCCCCGCCCAG